ATTTAGTCGGAAAATATAATGCAAGATAGTTTATGACATGTATTGCAATAGAGGCCGTTCCATCATATTCTACTTGACAAAATAATAGGAAAATTCTCTTGTTGTATGCCTGCATTCCGTTCATTATTTTTGGGAAGTCATCCAGTCGTTATGGTAAGCCAAAATTCTGTACGGATCTGACAAAAATTATTTAATGTTATAATAGAAAAGGAAAAGTCAAAAATTATTTAATGTTATAATAGAAAAGGAATAGTCTTTCCAAGGAATGGATAGTGATTTTGTTTATTTTTATCACCGTTTAAAATTCATTGCACGATCACAATTGTTCAGTAGTTTTTTATTTTTCATTTTTTTTCTACAAATCGAAATGACCTAAAATTTAGAGAGTATGTACATCTTATTGAGGCGCATCTAATAAAAATATAAAAAAATTATATGTGAAAAATAAATTGATCAAAATACCCTCGAAAATTTTTAGGGGTATTTTGTCAATTTTTTTCATATAAAATATAAATTTATAATTTTTAAAGATTATCCGATTTTTGATGAATACATGCTCCAAATATCAGGTTATTTCGATTTGTAAAAAAAAATGAAACACTATCGGACAATCGTGACTACGCGATGAACTTTGGACGGTGATGGGAGTAGGCGAAATCACTGTTCATCTTCACCTATAGGGGTTGCAGTGTTTTTCAATAGAAAAGATGTATAAAGAGAACAATTACTTTTAATACAGGAAGGTCACAATCACTAGAGGTAAAAATGGACCTGACTAGACTCAAGATCGGATGGGTAGACCCAACCTCAGGTCGGGGTATGGGTCTAAATTTTGGATTGAAAGATCGGGTTTGGGTGCAAAATCTGGACAGAGTACTACTAGGGTCCGGGCAAACCTGACCCAAATAATATAAATATATAATAGTATTATTTAAAATTTCACCCGAACAAGCTTTCTCTTTTGGGTGCAATTTGTATAGAGCTTAGGCTCTAAACATTCAAATTAGAGCCTACCTTCAAATAGTATCGAGAAATGCAGTTTCAATATTGGAAATCTTTATGATAGCCTTAAAATATATTTTTATATTTATTTATAAAGTTTAAAGTTTCAAAAATAGTGTAGATCGATATATCTTGAAAATTGATAGTCCAAAAATGTGTTACAAAATACACTATTTTAAAAAGTTGAAATCCATTTTTTTCTCATATACATGCTTTTTGATGTCGAGATGATCAATTTGAAGATATTTGGTTATCAAAACAACCTCTTCTAGTAAACTTTTTGAGGTAGGCTCAAATTTGATAGTTGAGAGCCTCCCCACTATATAACCTTTTCACTTCTCCTTCTAATCTTCAAAAGCAATAAATATTTCACCTTGCACCTATTTCGGTTGCAACTTGCTCTCTCTTCTTTCCTTTTTCCTCTCTCTCCATTTATTGTTTAAACTTTAAACCAATGCCGAATGATACCCAATGATGGTAAGAAAAGCGTAAAAATAAAAATAAAAGAACGAAACTCATCGTTAGAGCCCATGTGGCTCACAAGACTAAAGGGACACAATTATTTAAAGGAATCCAAAGCCTCTATTTACCCAGTAAAAAATCCATTTAATTAGCACACACTCATTTCCCCATTTGCCAAGGACCACGTGCCCAACATGCACTTGCAATGGGCACGCTCTTTCTGTCTCTTGGGTCCGGATCCCATAGTAATTTTCAAATCCAGGTCTAGGTCCAATGACTCTAAACTTGGTTCGGGTCCGACCCGACTTTTTGCCACCCTTAACAATCATTTTTATCCGTCAGATTTTAAATTGAGTAGCTGTGAATGTGTTATTGACTAGACTCAAATTTCAAAAAAACATTTCTTGAAGTTTGTGGCACATTCTAAGCCATCCAATTTGACGTCTAATGGATTATAACAATTGTGATTTCTTGTATCAAAGATAAATGATATGGTAGTATACGCTCTCTTTATAATAACCCCTCCATCATTTTTCATCCTATTTATTTCTACCTCACTAATTGTCCCCAAAAAATTAATTTCCTGTCTTCCTTCTTTTCCTTTAACCTCATTGACTGCCCCAAACAATTAATTTTACCTCTCTCTCTCATCTCTCCCTTTTTCTAGGGACAAGTGAGATAGAAAATTTGGGACAAACTTGCAAGTTTTGTTTGAGGCAGCCATTGGGGTACAGATAAAAAAAGTAAAGGGAGGGAAGTGAGGAGGGAGTGGGACGTCTAAAAGTTATGAAATTGAAGGGGTCAAAATGAAAATTCCCATAATGTTTGGTAAATTAGTTCATAACGCTTTTATGATATCCTTATTTTTTTAGATATATTAATGTTCAAGTAAATAGTCAATTAACGAGTATGGGATTGTAGTTCTTATTCATCAAAGCACTCACTTTGGTTATTTGTCATTTAGTAGAAAAAATTGTTTTCTTTCTCTTCATTATCTCAATTAAGACTTAGTAAAATACCCCTGTTTTGCATGTCTCAAAATGTTGTATATATGAGGGAAAAGTTTATGTAAGGTTGCAACCTTAAAATGTAGAATCGCAAATGCTCTTAAAAAATCTAGCAAAAAGGTTGTTTTAATATAGAACAACCCTCTAATTGATCATCTCGACATCGAGATGTATAAATATTTAAAAAAAAAAAGTTTTTAAGTCCCAAAAATAGTTCATCTTGCAACATATAATCTAGACCGTCTATTTTCAAGATTTTCATATGTTTATAGATCTTCTTGATTTTAACCACTTTGGAGTTCAAAATTTTCTAATTAGATATGAAAATAGATTTTAAGATAATCCTAAGAATTTTTTACAATAAAATTATATGTTAGGATAAAATTTGAAAGTGCGCCTTAATTGGATTGTTTAAAGTTGCAACCTTATAGAAACCGCACCTATAATGTGATATTGATAAAATACTTGGAAAAATAATATAGGAATAGGAATAAGAAATATTGAATATGTCTTTCTTTATGCTGTGTGAATGAATGTTAAACATTTGTTTAATGGGCTCAGTAAATTCTTTATATGGTATTTTCAAGTAATACATAAAAATTTTATAATCATCACTGCAATGTGTATGTTATAATTATATTGTTATTATTGTTAACAGCATTAAAAATATGAATAGTAATAATTATTATCTTATTGTTAGTGATGAGTTATATTATATAATAAAATAATTATAAATGAACTTATATAATTATCATTAGAGTATTACTATAGATTGATAATATTTAATTGAGCTTTAAGTAATATAATATAATTAACATAGCTGCAATCAATGAAACTATAGTTGATATTTTCATTATTTTTTGTTATAAAATTATAAAAATACATTTTTTATAATTACATCCTGGTAGTCATTACTCACGAGGCGAAGCTCTCTGGTGCAGTCGCTTCTCTTTCACAATGCAAAGAGGGTTACTGTAAACAACCTCATATCCATGAACAGCCAGCTTGGGCACATAGCCTTTAATGGGTGTGAGGACATAACTGTAAATGGTGTAACGGTTCGAGCATCGGGCGACAGTCCGAACACCGATGGGATCCATGTACAACAGTCAGTTAATATCGTGATCATCAACACTAGCATAAGGACGGGAGATGACTGTATTTCAATCGGGCCGGGGACCCAGAATTTGTGGATTGAGCATATGGCTTGTGGTCCCGGACATGGTATCAGGTATCTAGTTTTCTGCTACAATGCATGGTATGATCCAGATGATCATGGTAGCAACATGGTCATAAGCCTCATTAGCTCATTACCTTCCAATCAATGGGTTTGTACGGTGATGAGTAGTGTCGGTCATATAATGAATAGTTTATCAGGTGGACCGACTCTTCCACCATCACCATCCAACCTATTGGAGGGACGGGCAATGACATTATGGCCATGGTGGTAAATGATTATATTTAGTGTTACCATGATCTTGGTGCATTCCCTCTTTGTTACCTTGACTTCTCTTCTAATTGTTATATTCTAATTTGAGTGTATATATCATAATCTCACATGAGCAAACTATATGCTTATTCCCTTAGCTAAATAAAAGCCATATTTAACGCAATTTCCTCGAATTGAAATTTCCTTATAGGTATTTTCTCTAAAACAAGAATTGGATTTTGAGTTTCTAAATGCTTAGATTTATCTATTTGAAACTGGAAGATATCTATTTAATTTTAGGACGTTATATTTTCTAATACATACATAGTGTTTTATTTTATTTTTTATTTTTTATTTTTTTATTTTTTTATTTTTTAAGTTAGTTGCTAGGTTGAAGTGGTTACATGTGTTAACCATGGGATGTTTTGTATGTACATGGGCAGCATTGGAAGCCTTGGAAAGGATTTGGAAGAGCCTGGGGTGGAGAATGTGACAGTTAAGGATGTGGTATTAAGTGGCACACAAAATGGAGTAAGGATAAAGACTTGGGCTAGGGAGAGCAATGGATATGTGAGGGGAGTTTTATTTGAGGAGGCATTGATGATCAATGTGAACAATCCCATCATCATAGACCAGGATTACTGCCCTCATAACTTGAATTGCCCTAATCAGGTACTCAATTTATTTTTCTTTGGTGGGTTTTTTAGCTTGGATTAAAAAAATTTCTGTCTTTATTTTTCAGCTTCAAATAAAGATTGAATTTAAAAGTAAGATAGGCCCAAATATCTTTGCTAGTAGAAATAATATATGACAACAAATAATATATGGCAACACATTTGGTCACTCAGTTTTTTAAATAGGGATTATGAGACCATTTATGTTTGTTCCAAGGCGGTCATAATTACTTTTGTCCATTGGATGTGAAATCCAATAGATTAAAATATGTCACAACATTCGAAAAATTTTATTTTAGATTTTGTGCCTAAACAATAACAGATTTCAATCACCGGATTTCAAATCTAACGGTCAGAAATGATTGTGACGTCCTTATATAAAAAATAAACGGTCTCATTGTATATATTTCCTTCTAATATTTTGTCCAATATTGTTGGTGGTCAAACCAATTTATAGTCAATTTATCAAAATGCATGACTAGATAATTAAAAAACGAGTGAGGGTTGTATAGGGTAACCACCTTATACTATTTAAGTAAGAGTCGCACATCTAAATTTTGCCAGAAGATGTAGTTGTGGTGTTGGAAACTTTAGGATGCCTTGAAATCTCAACCCTAATTATGAAATATAAATTCCAAAAACTATGCAAATTGAGTATATATATATATAAACACTTGAAAATCTTGAAAATATATGACCCAATTAACTTGTTACACACTATTTTTATAGAACTTAAGCTTATTTTTCTCTTTAGATCCATATATCTCCGAGTCGTGATGATCAATTGAAAGGTTTGTGAAATGCGGAGCTCTTTTCTCTCCCGCATTTTTGCAGTGCACCTTACTTCAAGACTATAAGGTTGCAGCCTTATATAAACTTTTTCGAGTGGCTGAATCTACTCATATTAATTGTAATCAATGGGTGAAACTACCCTTGGAATTTAACATTGACAAATACACATGCTCTACTAGAAAGGAGATGAGTCAATCCAAAAAATCATGAGGAACTATATATTATACGTCAAGTGAAAGCCTCACATAGATCCTTCTGTTTTTTTGGTTTTTTTTCTTATCTTAACCATCAAACAAGCATTATGAACGGTTATTAGGATTTGAAGAAACCAATTATGAGGGGATTCACACAATTTATTGTGTATTTAGCTTGTAAATGAAATGCTGAGTCCTTGTGACTTAATGTCAATGATGATGATGGCAGCCAGTGATTTAAAAAATGCCAGGTCGGCATAGAATTGTCGGGTCAGATTTAGGAATCAATCACCCCGTTCTAGTTCTACATGTATAGGAAAATAGCCAAGTCTAGAAGGGAACCGGAGGTTCGACACAGTAAAATGATGATTCGGACCGCTGATACACTGATCCGGACCAGATTTTGGCAGCGTCATTATTTTTTTCAGTATTTTTTCACGGGTTCACAGTTTTTTATGCACAGTAAAATGACAATCCGGACAGCTGATTCACAGATCTAGATCGTTGATTCACCAAACCAGATCAGTTTTTGAGGTGCTCGATCCAAACACCGATCTATTTTTTAAATTACTAATTGTGGCGATGGTTTGTAGCATAAGCTACTTTGAAAAGTGGGAGTTTGTTGATCCCAAAATCTTGTGCACATGTGGATCTCATCTAAGTAATTGGAAAATGAGTATTTTTAAATTCCTACAAATCAAATAAATTTTTTACGATATTTATTTATTAAATCAAAGATATTATGCAAACTTTCAGCCAAAAAATTCCCTCGAGCTATATGTTATGGAGATTAGTTTATATTTGCAGTTACAAACTTGTTGATTATAGAAGTTGTTACCTGATTTGATTGGTTGGTACAGGGTTCTGGTGTAAAGATAAGTGGGGTGAAATATAGAAACATTAGAGGAACATCAGCTTCAAAAGTAGCCGTGACATTTAATTGTAGCCCTAATGCTCCATGCCAAGACATAAGGATGGAGAATGTTGAGCTTACTTACCTGAACCAGTTGGCCCAAGCCTCATGCTCCCATGCAGAGGGGAGCTCGAGTGGTGTGGTTTACCCACAAAGTTGCTTATAAAAATATAATTATCTGTTCATGTAAAGGTATCTATCCATTTTATTGGAAAATTCAGTTCTCCCTTTCATCCAATCTCTCTCTCTCGTTCAAGCAATACTATCTATTCTTTTTAATTGATTATTTAATTCTCAAAACAGAGAAGGGTAGGTCCAAAAAGACATGATCAGAAGTAGTTAAAAAAAAGATATGGAGATTTATTGAAAGAAATACCTATGTGATCTTTTACCGGAGAATATATATATATGTATATATATATTTTATTCACCCCTTTCTTTTGGTAAAAGATCACTTATAGGTGGTCTTTATTATAATAAGATAAATTTCAAAATAAAATCAACATAATAATAAAACCAAGATCTTAACAACTTGATGCCATAGAAACAAATATGCATTATGCTTGAGAATAAAAGATAAGATTGCAAGAAACAAAAAGAAAGGTGTCGGAGATTACCTCAACCGGGCTTATTACACCCCACACCGAATCACCACCATCCAATGGCACGAGATCAGCGGTCTAGCTTCAATATCGAACCGGTAAAGCAAATTTCGGCTAAGCCACACCAATGGAACATGAACCCCTTTGATCACAAACTCAAACCCTAGGTGAATTCTCTTAACAATTTAGTTTGAGAGAGATGGATTTTCTTTTTGCTAAATCCTAAAACCCTTAGCCATAAACCCATATTTGAAAGATAAGAGATAGAAGAACTCCATAACCTAAACCGTTAGGTCCTTTCACAATGTGGGAGAGAGAGAGATCAAACATGAGAGAGAGAAACTTTCTTGAGACAAAGAGATATAAAGATAAGGTATAAAGATTTTGGGTAGAGACAATCTTTTTTTTATAGCCTTGAACAAGATTAGGGTTTTTTAGGGTTTTCTTTGGTTTGCCTCTTCTTGTGAGATTGATCATAGACCGTCGATCAATGGTGACTTGTGGGGTGAGAGATCTGAGCCATCCATTCCATAGATGGGCCATCAACATTATGAAAGGTGCATGGACCATTATCCCCATTTTTGTAACTATTTTCCCATCAATAG